GGAATCGAAGGTTTGAGACAGGACCAGGAAGATTGGCAGGGGTGGAAAGATAGTTGGACTTTGCAGTATCCCAGAGTGCTATCTTGCCGCTGGCGTGGCCCGAGATGATTGTTGTGCCGTCCCAGCTAAGGCTCAGACAGAGGGCTCCGCCGAGCTTCTGCGACTCTGCATTGAACCGGCTCTTCGGCGGCGGCTGAATTGGCCGATGAGACGAGGCACTATCTCGGAGGACGTCTATTGAGGTAGTCTTCTGGACGTCATCGTAGAAGTCGATGGTTTGTAGGCTGCCGTCAGCGTAAGCCACATAGAATGCGCGGTCTGCAGGGTCGAGAGTGACTGCAGTCGGTATCTCAGGCAGCAGATATGTGCGTAGAGCTTGGCCATTGTGGTAGTCCCATACTATAGCAGACTTGTCCCCTGATATTGACACGGCGATGTTGGCAGTGCTCGAGCTGTGCCCGCAAGCGATGGACGAGATGGGGCCGCGGTGGGTAGAGAGGGTCTGTATCGGCGAACGCGAGGCGTCGGGAGAGAAGGACAGTATCGTGGGAAGCGCCCATACGTGGATCATGGCATCCGAGGAGCCCGAGAGGAAGAAGTTGGACGACGGGTCGACAACAATACTCGTGACTGGCTGGAGATGGGACGTGGAGGTAGAGACAAGGCGGCCTGAGCAGACCTGAGATATGTATTAGAGAAGTCGCACACTACATGTATCATTCCAAACTTATGACTGACCTCCCAGGCTAGTATGCGCCCGCTCTCAGTCCCCAGCAAGAGCACGCTGTCCTGCGCCGCGAGTGCGATGCTGTGTATCCTCTCCGGGAAGGGCACGAGGGCCTCCTGGTTGCCCTTCTCTCTGCTGTAGACATGGACAATCGCCTTCTCCGACTGCGCAGCGAAGATATGTGAGGCGCTCACAGCTATGCCATTTGGCGCAGCCGCGCTCTTCTTGAGCGCCTGTCTTTGGGCGACGAGCGGCTGGAACTCGTGGACGAATATACCCGCATCTTTGGTGACGCCCGTGTTTGGCTTGGTCGATGCCGATATGGCGGCGACGAATTGTTCGGTGAGCATGGCCGGGCGTGATTGCGGAAGTTCGTTGTCGCAAGTCGAAAGTTGCAAGCTCTAGAAACTTTTTGGTGGAGCATCCAAAGACCGGGGGTCTGTGCACCTAGCCGCGGCATCGTCCGAATCGGGCAACTTGTCCAAAGCCGTGGATTGCGGGTGCCTGGAGAATTACCACGGCCGTCTGAACCTACTCGAGATCCCATCGGAAGTAGCTCTAGACACGACACCCGTCCGAGACACACAGAGCTCCAAATCAACATCCTTCGGCGCATCTTTTTGCATTAGTCGACGTCGCCGCGCAGATTCTGAATGAAAAGAGCGGCGCCTTGCCTGCGGGACCGTTTCGCTGCTGCGTTGGCAATGAGTAGGTCCCGCTAATGCCTGGCGTCGCCATCTGCTATCACGAGGCCGAGACATGGCCCGGGGCTTGACAAAAGCTCGTAAAGCTACCCCGCATACAAGTAGCCTAGCCATCTTGGCCTCAGGTAAGGGCTGACATAGGGCTGTTCAGCCGCGTACCAAGTGGATTCTGCTGCGTCAGCTCGTCGCCTTTTCGTAACATCACGACTTATCGAGGAAGGTGAACTTTAGTGCGGAACTGAAACACGCTCAAATCGCCGGTAACAGTTTTAGTAACATGTGTGGTGTGGTGCGGGAATGTCTATGATCACGGCTACCGAATGCTGAATACCTACCCAGCTACATTCACGGGTAGGCCGACAAAGAACTGCCCCGCGTGAACCCATCGCCAATCTAGATCCCCACACGGACGCCTCGAAGAACTGGAACTACCACGAAAGCTAATGGACTGCTCGCTTCATCCGTTTGGTATTGCTCTTTGCCCAATGAGTACTGACCGGATGCCTGGAGCGAGCTGGCACGAGGTCCATCGGTGTACTCTCGCCTATTGCAACTGTATGGGGCTATGGTCTGGGGGTTCTGCGGACATGGTTCTCGAACAAGCCTCGTGGCAGCCCAAAAGCCAGCCCTGCAGGTCAAAGGCACAGTAGTGCGCAGCCCCGCCCAGCTGGTAGCCTTGACCTCGCACTCCAGATCTTTGAGAAACACTACCCTATCACTGCAGTACGCAATCATATATAATCTGGTCTAATTTTCGCACTCTCGGGTCATTCAAGACATCACAACTGTTGACCCAATATGTCTCTCGAGGAATTGACAAGCAAGTCGTATGGTACGCACATCTTCATTTACTCAAAGAAAAAGTGGAACTATTCTTTACTTCGACTGCATGCATCCAACCCCAAAGACTACCTGGACGTCTGATCAGTATGTTTCTTTGCTAAATGTTCGGTGCTTGCAGACTACATCGTTGTGGGAGGTGGGACCGCAGGCTTGGTCATTGCAGCTCGTCTAACAGAGGACCCCAACGTTTCTGTAGCTATCCTCGAAGCTGGCGGCAATGGACTGAACGACCTCTTGATCGATGCACCAAATATGTTTACCCAGCTCTGGGGCAAACCACAATATGATTGGGATTACAAGACTGTCCCTCAGGTAAGCACATGATTTGCTGCAATTGGCTTCATCTAACAATCTGGCAGGAGGGCACAGTCGGTCGAGTGCACGGCTGGGCCCGAGGTAAAGTCCTCGGTGGGAGCTCAGCTATCAATTACAACATGTTCAGCATGGCTTCCAAGCAAGATCTGGACAACTGGGCAGAGCTCGGCAACAAAGGCTGGTCCTTTGACGATATGAAGGCCTACTACAAAAAGTTCGAAACATATCACCCAGCATCAGAGACCTTCGGAAAGGGCATGGATGACAAATACCTCGACAAATCACTTCGCGGCACCTCTGGTCCAGTTCATGTCAGTCGTCATTGGCAACTCATGGATCTTGCTGATCGAACTAGATATCCTTCCCCGAAACCGATGTAACTTGGGGTCAGGATGTGTGGCCCAAGACTGTAGTAAACGCCGGATACTCGCCCGCAAAGGATCCTCGTACCGGCTCAGCGATTGGCGGCTTCAATCAGCTCAACACTATCGACCCTAAGCATAACAGACGAAGCTACGCTGCGAGAGATTACTACGAGCCCAACGCGGATAGGTCAAACATGACTCTTATCACTCATGCGCTGGTCTCTAAAATCGAGCTTGAGAAGACCGCGGAGAGTGTCAAGGCCACCGGTGTTCAATTCACAGTTGATGGCACTACGCACACGATGAAGGCGAGCAAAGAGGTCATAGTCTGCGGCGGGGTTGTCAACTCCCCCCAGATCCTAGAACTATCCGGTATCGGGTCATCTACTGTACTTGGAAAGGCTGGAATTGACGTCCTCGTTGATCTCCCAGGCGTTGGGGAAAACTTGTCCGATCACACAGCGACTGGACTCGTCCTGGTAAGTGTATGTATTGCTGTGGTTACTTTCATACACTGACCTTCTCCAGGGGGTAAAAGATGAATATCCAACCGCCGAAGCTCTTGTCCAGAACCCAGCTGTCATGCAGCAAGCCATAGAAGCATACATTACCCACAAAGCCGGCCCATTTGCAGGAGCGCCTACAACGACAGGCTTCGCCTCTCTCGCAAAGATCGAACCCGACTTCCCAAACGCAGAGTCCCACATCCAATCTCTCCTCGAAGACTTTCGCAGCAAGCATCCAGATGCCGATCCTGCAGGTCGGGATCCCCTCCTCGGTCGCCAACTCCTCGACCCCAAAGAAGCAGTTTGCCAAATCGTCATGCTACCTACAGGCGCGCAGATGCAGAGCCCAGAGTCAGCTGCCAAATTATTTCCATCTGTGGAAGAGGGTATGTGGTGCACGATTGGCGCATGCAGCACACGTTCTCTGTCTCGCGGGAGTGTGCATATCAACAGCTCGGATCCAACTGCGCATCCTACCATCGACCCAGCGTACTTCTCGCATCCTCTCGACCTCGACATGATGGCTCGAGCGGTCCTTCACTGCATTACCTTCACAGACGTAGAGCCCTTTGCTTCAACCCTCCGCAGAGACCCCGATGGCAACCTCATCACGTCTAAAACCGCTGGCCCAGTACCGAAAACACTGGAAGAAGCGAAGACCTTCGTGCAGAATAGTACGGTGACAGAGTATCATCCCGTTGGTACTTGTGCTATGTTACCAAAAGAGAAAGGCGGTGTTGTAGATGCGGAATTGAAAGTTCACGGCGTGGAGGGACTCAGGGTGGTGGATGCTAGTATCTTCCCAACGCATGTACAGGGGAATATCGTTAGTCTGGTGTATGCTATTGCAGAGAAGGCGGCAGATTTGATCAAGGGTGTGGATGGCATGGATGTTGTGGAAAGGATAGATAGTCTGCGCGTTGACTGAATAGGGAATTTCATTGCAATTTTGAGGAAATGCAATCGATTCTCATGATGAGAAGCAAGCAATAGCAACCTGAGGTATGCCAGTTGACTCAGCTCAATGCGCGCCTAAACCAGGCTCAATGCAAATAGTGCCCATTTTAGCACGTGCAGGGCTGGTGAACGCCAGTACGCACTCGTAGGAGAGAAAGAACTTGATAAAAACCTCCTGAATCAGTATATCGGCCTCTTGCACTGATTTGGTACATTATCTCAACACGGCAACCAAAACATGGTTTTCGCAGCACGATCGCCGCAATGACGTAGCGTCTAATCTTACAATCGCTCCTGCGTACCCAGGTAAGTCCAAGCGCTCCTTTGAACGCGAACTTGCCCAATCCGATCCGGCAGGAACACTGCAACGTGAAACCTGCTTTGTCCTTTTCTTGTCGTAAGACGCGAGAGATTACGGCAGCACCGATCTATAAACAATTGCGATCCCGAATTTCTCTTCTGTCTCGAGAATTTGCTTCAGCATCCGCCCTTGACAAAATTCGTTAACAGCCATCCCATCCGGGCATCACAGTTCTCTCGAGTCCAGGATATCCAAGTAACGAACGCCACGCCAAAAGCCGAAATGTCAACACGCAAATCCAGCCGCGCAACCAAAGCGGTAAAATACACATCCGCATCCGAAGGCTCGGATTTCGAGGACAAGAAGCGAAAGCCCAGGAAGACAACTACAGCTACCCCCAAAGGACCTACAAAAAGGACAAAAGCAGCACCAAACGCGACCACCGTTTCGGGAAAGAAGGCCCCCATGAACCCCAAGCGCCCCGCCGAATCCGACGACAACGAGTCCAGCAACGAAGCCGCCGCCATCTTACCGCCTAAACCCAAGCGCCAAAAGAAAGACCCCGAGACACTCGCCCAAGAAGCCCACGAGAAGCAGGTCAAAGCCGACAAAGCGCTGCACAAACAAAACTGGCAGGACTGGCTCGCCTCCCACTCCGTCGAAGGCGAGATGCTTGAAGAAGAGCCCGACAAGGAAGAAAGTATCACGCAAACCGACGCGCTGAAGAAGTACGGGCTCAAGAAAGAGGAACTGACGTCCCTGCTGCGGTACGAGAAGAAGAACCCGTTGTATGGGGGCACGATGAAATTGTTCCTAAGGGACAATGTGAAGGAGTTGGGCTTCAGGAAGATGGGGATTCTGGAGGGTATGGAGGGGGGTGATGATGAGGTTTTGAGGAGGGGGGAGGAGATTTGGGAAGCAGAGTAAGTTGACATGTGTGTTATCTGATGGAGGAGATATACTAACACGATATCTTAGGCATAAAGACGATCCTGAGTCTGAGGACGACGCGAAACCAACAAAGTCGAAGAAGGACGACAAGTCCACGCCGACGAAAGAGAAGAATGCCCCAGCCAAACCCGAGAAATCGAAGAAGGAAGCACCAGCTAAATCCACCAAACCCGCTAAAGAAAAAACACCCAAGCAAAATTGGTCAGCATACATATCCGCACACACCCCCACCGCCGACTCAAACCTCACCGAAGAGCCATCCGACGTCATCAATCAAACAGAGTGCAAGAACAAGTACAGTCTCACATCTCAGGACCTAGCTTGTCTGCCGTTCTTCCCTAAGAAGAACCCAGTGTACGGGAAAATCATGAAGTTATTCAAAGAGAGCGAAGCGAAGAAGTTGGCGTATGTGAAGACTGCTGTTCTAGCTGGTGTGGAGGACGATGGTGAGGATGAAGGGGCGTTGGTGAAGGAGGGGAGGAAGATTTTTGAGGAGCAGCGAGAGGGGGAGGAGGGTGAGGAAGAGTAGGGGCTGTTTGGTACGCGGCCACGACTGATATGGTCTGCAGCGACATGCAACAACAGTATCCGTGGATCTACGAGATTATCTTCCTGACTTTTCCCTTGTATCCGCTTTTACTGCCCTAACTCCCAGTCTCCCCCATTCGAATACCCTCACCACTTAATAGCCTTCTTGAACACAGGAACCTCCTCGAAATTATCCACACTCCACTTCAACTTACCATCTCCCGTGATCCACGCACCTTGATCAGTAGCCTTCAGCCCTGTCTTCTCGTTCTCACTAATCTCATGCTTACTCGCGCCAATGCTATCCTTTGCCAACCAAACAACCGGCGTCTTACTCGTGAAAGCAGGGTTCAGATAGGCCTTCTTCAGGTCCTCTTCACTGTATTGAGGTTCCTCATCTTCGTCAAAGTCGCCGTCGCGCAGCCAAGCCTTCAAGGCAGTGTAACTACCGAAGACGTGTGGCTGTAGGAACCGGGCAACAGGCGAGACGACCTTGGACGGCACACGCGTCCGTTCGCTCACGCGATCAATCCTCGACTCTGCGTGCTGAAGAGCTTCAGATTCGCCTTCCTCTGCCGAAGACAGTAGTGGTGCCTGCTCACCGTCTTCAGAGTCGAGCGCGAGATCCGCGGGTAGGTATCGTTCGAGTGGAGCGAAGTAACGGTTCGTGATATAGTTGAAGATGGCGGTGGCGAAAAGTAGGATGACAAGCATGATTAGAGGACCAGTCGCTTCGCGTAAACTGAAGAGACCGATAAGGCACAGCTCGGCGATGTAGATACCAGTGAGAAGATGCTGCAGAGAAAGCGTGTACGCATGTCCTTTAGTGTCGATTTTCGGTGTCGCGGTATACAACAGCTGGTACTGGTAGCACCAGTAGAAGATTACAAGACCGATAGCAGCGACGCCAAGAACGAGAGGCGCGATACAGGAGTAAACGATCGCTGCGATAGATCAGTAACAGGTCGTCTGTGACATCTGAAATGACTTACCGATGACGACAAAGTTGCCGTACTTCGGGAATAGCTTGCCCCAAGCCATGCCCCTCATTGTGATGAAGCTGTTGTACTTCTGACGGGGGGTATTATCGAAGAATCTGTCATAGAAAACATACGACAGCACGTCGGTGTAGTTCAGTATGTTACTTGGGGCATTGGTCAAAGCCTGGACAATGAAGTACGCCAGATAGGTGTTTGATGCTCTCGGCAAACGCTCCGCGAGTTGCTGTGGTATTCGGCTTGGGTCTTTGACGATTTGCGATACTACCGCTGCAGCACCTGAAGCGAGTGTGGTGACAAGGAAGACCTGCAGTACTTGGAAGACAAAGTACCACTTGAGCACCTTCAGCTCAATGACAGTCTTAGTCGGCTCTCCGAATTTTGTAAAGATGTCTGCATTATGTCAGCCCGAAGGTAGCAATATAGGTCAAAGGAGGACACTTACACCTAAAGATTTTAGGTACGTAGCTAGCCAACGCGCTCAAGGCCAGAGAAGGTAGGAGACCACTAAGTAGGCTCATAAGTCCGGATGGAAGCTTGTTGAGGAACGCGAGCCATTTAAAATTCTCGGCGAGATATTCAACATTCGACAATGCACCGACTACTCCAACTGGAATGGACCAAAGTATGATGACAGCGACGACTAGGGTGATGGCGACTCCACTCTGAGATATCCGACGTGCAGGTGCTAGGTTCAGGTTGGCCCAGATAACTTCATTGGGCGTAGTACCGACAAAGCGAGGGGTGAGAGACAGAATGTCAGACGATGCGATCTGTTGGTAGGCTCTCTGAGCCGCGGGCTGGGTGCGAAACTCAACGAAGACCGCCGCAGCTCCACCAAGACTCTCAGCTGTCTCGTTCGATTCGCGAGCCTTCTCGATGTCATTCTCTTTCTCCTTAATCTGGTCTCGGAAATAGCTGATGCTGTCAACTTCCTTGCCAACCACTGGTGTCTTGGATTTGTGTGTAGGTCGTAGGGACTTCTTCATTTGCTTGGGTAGCTGCTCGTATTTGATGTTGCGGTTGTGGCTCTTCCCAACTTCCTTGTTGACGTTCAGAATTAGGGACATCTCGGCACCCTCTAGCTCCTCGACTTTCGAGTTCCTCTCTGAAACGAGCGACACAAGCTTCTCGCCTTTGGTAACTGGCCAGATCCTGACTGCATCGTCGCCGAAGAACCGTTGCATGTTGCCTTCGTCGAGAGCTGCGGTAGGTGCCGAGAGGTAGAGTACGGTACGTGAAGACAGCCTCTTCGCGTTCGGCTTTGACAGATTCCATGCTTGCCGCAGTCCGATTAGCCATAGGCGTTCTCGTGCAACAGTGAACATGACAAAACTGAAAAATATCCATGCCACAACGGCATGCGCATAGAGATGGTCCTTGTGCTTCACATTGCCGATACCAACGCGATTAAGTTCCTTGGAATTGCCGCCACCGGTATAATTGGCAGGCAGAAGGATAGGCCAGGTAATGACTGCACCACCGACGCAGATGAAGATAAGAGTCCTCATAAACCGCAAGAACAAGTACGAATCAAGCGACTGGTGGTAAAGCATGAACTTGTCCGGAACGGTCCTCATGGTGTGAACCCATTCGAAGTAGCCTGGCGATTTCGAACATGGCGTGCGATCCTTCTCTGGTACGGTGCCAATAAACGTCCGTGGTGAGTAGATCTTGGGGAAGCGGCGCCAGATGAGGACAAACGCGACCATGTACAAAGTCGCAATCACGGCCGTGGGCACGAAAGCTGCAGCGAGTGACGCGAACGAAGAAGGGCCGCTAGACTTCGTAACAGGGGATGTTAGTACACGCGTTTTGAGTAAAGTCGGGGTGTGGACGCAGGTACGTACCGACTGGACATGGCTGGTGCCATGGTCTTTGGCGACGAACACCGTCTGAAGATCCATCGGGTGTCTGTTGTGGGGCAAGAATTGATTAGCAATGCCTCATAGCCGATGCAGGACGAGAAATTGCAGATTGGCAAAGCGGAAGAGGTTGTGACGGAGGCTTTGCGCGCTTCTGCCTGTGTCGACTAGTGCTGCGGAGAGCGATGGGTGAAGCCTGTCAAGCAGGGACGCCGATGACGTAGACGCGTCAGTGGCGCGGATTCATGCAGGTCACGTGCGACTCACTTTGAGACAGCAAACCAACATGACAGACCCAGGCTCGTCCAATCATGCACTAGACATATTCAGAGGACCTAAGGCGTCCAGTACAATTAATGCGCGCACGATGAACCCAGTCGACATTATTACAATTTTATATGTATGCCTACGTAACCAAGAAAGCCCCATCCAATATTCATACAACAGTCTATAACGCGTGGTATCGCAGTATGCAAGCCTGTTACCCGCTATCCAAAACGCCCACAAAGGAAAGATCCCGACAAAATAGCTAACGCCGTCATATGCAAGAAAACAAACTGAATACTACTGGGCACACCTAGAGCCACAGCAGCCACCTGATCACTCCAATCCCCATACCAAATACTCTCTTGACAGATCCGACGAGCACAACGATGAGCCAAAGACACCACATGAGTGCAACGAGAGCCCATTCAACGAGCATCCATCCGAATCCTCGGATCCAGCGCATCCTACGTTTGCGTGTGCGAATCATACGGTCAATTTCGTCTGTGATCTGCTTGACCTGCAGGGGGCCTTGTCCAGAAACCTCACTCGTGATGCGCACAGCTTGGTCCCCGCTTTCTAGGATACGCGGCATGAGGTCCGAGTCCACCGTAGATTGCAAAGCCGAGATCTGGTTGGTGAGTTGCTGAATGGCTTTATCGCGGAAAGATTCAAGTGAGGACTGTAATGCCTTTGTGGATGACTCCAGATCCTTGACCAACATGCGTGCAGCAAGAACGTGCTCTTCCTTGCGCGGAACGGGGTAGAGTCGCATCTTTGATGTAGCGGCAGCGCGACTCAGGAAGTCGGGAGGCGGATCTCTAATACTGTGCGCGCGTCGGTCGATTTCCCTTGCTTTGACGCCTGAGCAGAGGAATAGAGCGCGCACTCGAGCGATGTCCGCTTGGGTAACACCATTCGCGTTTTTGTTACGATCAGCAGCATTGTCATCGCCGTCGGCAATGCTCCAGTGTCTCCCGTTAAGCCCAGGCCGAGAGGCACTACGCTGCCTATGCGGGCCCTGTGCGTTTCGGAGTCCAGTGGGAGGGAGGCCCACCATGTCACCGCCAGGCCGAGCGAGCACTTCGTTAATCCGCTCCTGACTATGGCTCTGGGTAAGAGTGAGATCTCCTGCGGAAGAGTTCCCGGATATAGTACCAAGGTCCATACGTGGTGGTAAAAGCCGATCAATTCTAGGAGAGCGACTGTTCTTCTGCTCTCGCGCCTGACGTGAGATGTGATGCTCAAAATCCGATTCCTCATCGGGGATTGTGTGAATTGGCCGAAACGAAGGTAGATCAAGATGGCTGCGGTCGTTGTTGGTAACACCACCATCTGTCCCTGCTGTGACGGTCCGACTCATCGGTGGCCGTTTGTTGTGCTTGGCTTTGACAGTGCCATAATCGTCGAAATCGACAGAGTTGCGATCAGACACGGTGTCCGCGTCCGAGTCGTCGGCCCGGTCTCTTCTGAAGATGATATCACCGACTTTGGTGCCCTCATTCTTCACGCCCTTGAAGAATCTTGTGACAGCTGAATGTGGCTCCTGAGTGTCCCTGCGACGTAGCTTATCCGGGCTAGGCAAGCTACTGACACTATCATTCTTGCGGTGACCGAGTAGATTCATCACAGCACCAGGAGCTGCTAGGATGGCTGTGCCGATGTGTTTGTCTTCTTTGTCGTCTGGAGTTTCCTCGCTGGTCTGCCGAGATCTGGCCTTCCTGTCTGTTCCAGCAGATTCTGGGCAGAATTCGTGTTTGTGATCATCACTATGGTCATGCGAATGGAAAATGCTGTTGAACTTGCCCCGTTTCGCTTTCCTCGTCTGTGAGTTTGACCGACTTGGAGGTGATGAGAGATCGCCTCCAATATGC